CATGGCAATGGGCGTTTCGTTTCCGACACGCGCTGTACGTGGTAGACCAATCCAGAGCCAATCTCTCTGCGGCTCTGGACCAATCACAAAGGACTGCGCCATCTGAGCAATCACAGCAGTGAGGGCTCACGGAAAGGAGGGGTTTAGAGAGACTGATTCTTTGAACTGCTTCGCACGAGTCGTTTACGAATCATTTAGAAATGAGGTCAAATTAAATCTATTTTTTGAGAAAACTAACGTGTTTTTTGACCTTGCATGCATGTAAACCTGTTTTAGGAGACTCATAAAACAATATTAGCTACCTTAAAAATGGCATAATAGGGGCACATTAAACTACACTCATCGCAGAGAAACCGCTAAATGAATCGGTCTCCTTTAGTCCAGTCTTTGAGGATGACTCCATCACAGGTCATCGTCCCCTATTCCTTCAAAGGCGTAGTTTCCATGGAAATCATTGCCACTGATGTCACTGGCTGAGTTGGAAGAACTAAGTCCTCTCAGGGAGACAGAAGACAGCTTGGTCTGTGGAAATAAAAATAAATAATAATAGAGAGAACAGTAGATAAATATCTAAATAACTAAAACTAAAATTAACATTTTTTGCTAATAGAAATTAAATATAAATATTAGATGATAAATTGTGCCTTGGAAGTAAAATACGTTTTAATTGAAATGCTAAAATTACTAAAACTAAAACCGAAATAAAGCTAAACTTAACAATAGTTAACAAACACTGAAAATGTGAAAATAAAAGCTAATTCAAAATAAGAAATACTATAATGGTATATAAATAATAACAGTATATATACACAGTATAAATAAAAACAGTATAGAGGATATTTCCATTGTAAGTTAATTATAATGAAATGAAAATCACTGACAACTCACAGAAAGTTTGACTACTTGTTCACGGCTGGGATCAGGGGAATCCTGAAAAACAGTCATGCATATCACATATCAACAATGGTACATCTTCCATATCAAAACTAGAGGTGTTCTGCATTAGCAAAAACCTCAGCGCCCACCAGTAATGGAGGAGACTTCACAGCTTGCTGACTGTCAGAGCGCTGGAACGAGCCGTTCAGTCGCTTCTTCTGCATCTGCTGGAAACACAAATCACACAAACTTAGAGAAAAAGACAGAAAATGCCCTGTAAATAGGCATGAAATACAAATTGACCACATTTATTTTCATAAAACACATTCCTGAACTTATTGTGCATGGTTCATAAATGCATATTATTGAAGAGACTAATGTCTTCAAAGTCTTTCAAAACTTGAAAACCTGAAAGAAAAAAAAAAAAAAAAGAGTTTAGCACTGAAATAGAGGTCTGCGCGGGACTATTTTTTTTAATCCTGCTCCCGGCAAGGTTATATTCTGCACCCACCCGCTCCTGCTATATATTCACTCTTTGTTCACCCGCTGTCCGCTTATAATTTTCTTCCCGCCCCGACCGTTCCCGCTAAATTTAGATCTCGTTTCCAGAATCTCACATTTAAAATTCCGCTACTGAAAGAAAGAGAGATAGGCTAACAAATAAAAGTGTAGTCTGCACAAAATTGTATGCTATTTTATTCATCTTATCAAGAGTCTTGAATTTATTGACTTTGACTTGAATTTATATGAATTATCTTAAGACACAAAATTTGTTTAATATTTTA